ATCAAGCATGTCATATCCAAATTAAAAAATAAAAAAGCAGTAGGGCAAGATCAAATCCCAGTCATTTTAATCAAAAAAGTGGCAGATGAAATTGCTGAACCACTGTCTCATGTAATTAATTTAATGCTTGTCACAGGAGTATTTCCAGATAAACTGAAAATAGCCCAAATTATTCCAATTTATAAGAAAGGAGACGCTCAGGAAATAAAAAATTTTCGACCAATTGCACTCTTGAATAACTTTAGCAAGATATTTGAGAGGATAATATATGATCGCGTTATTTCGTTTTTTGAGAGTGAGCAGTTGCTCTCAACATATCAGAATGGATTTAGGAGGAAAAAAAGTACCACCAGAGCTATTTATCAGGCACTAACTAAAATCTTGGAGTCCCTTAATGGGAGAAACGAGACAGTGGCGATGTATTTGGATTTGTCTAAAGCTTTTGACAGTGTTAATCATGATGTGCTGCTAGCAAAACTAGAAAGGTATGGATTGAGGGGCGTTCCTTTACAACTAATATCATCTTATCTATTTGATAGAAAGCAGCAGATTATTGAAAGACACAATGGGGAAACATTAACATCAATTTCTAGCCAGGTCAAAAAAGGTGTACCTCAGGGATCAATCCTTGGACCACTGCTGTACATTATCTATACTAACGAGCTTGCAAATATAACTGATCAGTTTACGGTCCAGTTTGCGGATGACACTTCAGTAGTCTTTTCGGCAGAACGAATGGAGGAATTGAGTAACAAAATTCACACAACTTTGAGTTCCTTTCAGGGTTGGTTTGACTCAAATAACCTGGTTTTGAATGTCGAGAAGACACAGCTACTACGTTTCTCATATCAACGGGATTGGTCTCCCACTCAGTTTGTTTGCGGTGATGGTATACCTTTGAACACTACAAGATCGGCCAATTTCCTGGGGGTCAAGGTGGATTCACGGTTGGACTGGAGTGACCATATTGACTGCCTGGCTGGCCAAATATCAAGGCACTGCTATGCCCTGAGGGTGCTGGCACGTGAGGTAAATTATGAGGTTGCATTAACTGCTTACCATGCTTACATTCAATCAAGATTGAGGTATGGAGTTGTATTCTGGGGTAATAGTCCCGAAGTCTCTCGAGTTTTTATTGCACAAAAAAGATGTATAAGAGCAATATTTGCTATGTACCAGACAGATAGCTGTAAACCCATATTTAGGGCTCACAACATATTAACATTACCAAGTCAATATATCCTGGAAGCAGCATTGTTTGTTAAGCAAAATCCTGACCTTTTTCTTGAGCACATTAGGGGGCATTGCTATGATACAAGGGGAAGGACTGATCTTGTCAATGTGAGAAGCAATTTTACTTACATACAAAAAAACGTTCAATTTTCAATTATAAAAATTTTCAACAAGCTACCTTCAAATTGGCAAAGCTTGCAATTCGATAACCTTAAACATAAGTTGAAAAACCACTTACTTCAGAGGGCTTACTACTCGGTGGAGGAATTGTATGAGGACAATTTGAACAACGAAAATTGAAATGAGGTTCAAACCAATATATGTATTCTGATGCTCAGTATTGTATTTTATAGTGTATTTTCATGTTGTATTTTATTTTATATTGTATCTTTATATTCTTATATTTTATATTTTAATGTGTAGTATTGTATAAATGTTGTTTTTTCTTTTTTTCTTAAATGTGCTCGTGACTTAACTTGTTTATGATTTTAAACTCAAAACAGTCAATTCAATTTATATTTGGCTTGTAATGTTGGATTAGGGTATTTTTAAATTGACACGTTCTATGTCCGAAAGGGCTTTTGTGATAATTTCTTTATATTTACAATTATGGAACAAATAAATGCTATGAAATGAAATGAAATGACAAAGTACCAGTAAAAATATTCATGTACCATTAAAAGGTCTGTTTCCACAGAAATCACAAACCAGTCAGAGCGTTTTTGATTGGTGCAAATCGCCAACAACTAGTTTTCTAACTATTTTTAACGAATGAAATTCGGTCTGACTGGTTTGTGATACAGGGATACAAATGTGTCGTTTGTCTATGATAAATCTGTTAGTCTTAGTTCTTTACAACTGTCTGTTATTGACGTTTTTAATAAAATTAGTAGTTTGAAACAAACATTAGGACCGGGTCCAGATGGTATACCTGTCATTCTATTACAAAATTGTAAATATGTTTTAGCAGAAATTCTTTGTAAAATTTTTAACTTATCCTTAAGTAGTGGAATGTTCCCCATGTGTTGGAAGAAATGTTATGTGACGCCTGTTTTTAAGGATGGGGATCGCTCTGATATAAAAAATTATCGTGCTATTTCAAAAATATCTCTGATATCTAAGATTTTTGAATCGATAATTGCAGATAAAATAACACCTCATTTTAGGCACATAATTGTCAGCGAGCAGCATGGTTTTGTGAAGTCGAGATCGACAATTTCCAATCTGCTATGTTATGAGCAGTCTCTGTTGGAAGCCTTGGAGAATAAGTGTCAAGTTGATGTCATCTACACAGATTTCTCCAAGGCTTTTGACAGGGTTGATCACGGCATCTTGTTGAAAAAGCTGGAAGCTATTGGAATACATGGAGAGCTGCTTGGTTGGTTTGAAAATATGTTGAGAGGTAGAACGCAGGCGGTTAAAATAAAAAACTATATTTCATCTGAAACAAGAGTTACCTCGGGTGTTCCCCAAGGTGGACACCTCTCAACTTTTTTATTCAACTGCTTTATTAATGATGTTAAAGACTCTTTCCAGCATGGTAGATTTCTTGCTTTCGCTGATGATTTAAAGCCATTCAGAGTTGTACAAACAATATATGATTGCCGGTTGCTGCAGGAGGACTTGGATCGTTTTTCTGTATGGTGCACTGATAATAATCTTTCATTGAATGTTAAGAAATGTAAAGTTGTTTCATTTAGTAGATCAAAAAATCCTCACAATTACAATTATTTGCTTAATTCTGAACAGCTTGAGAGACAGTCCCTAGTAAAAGATCTTGGTGTTTGGTTTGACTCCGAACTTACTTTTACTCATCACATTGATGTAATTACCAACAGAGCAATGCGTTTGCTGGGGTTTGTCTTTCGAACACTGCGAGGATTTGAGAATATTTTCACATTCAAGTTACTCTACTGTGCCCTTGTCCGCTCAATCCTGGAATATGCCAGTTGTGTGTGGCAACCATTCTATGGTGTACATAGAAAAAGGTTGGAAAGAATTCAGCATAAATTTTTGAGTAGAATAGCTTACAAACTTCATATTCCATCTGAGGAAATTAATTATGAATCTTTTGAATTTGACATCACTGGAAAATAGAAGAAATTTTTTTGACATCTCCACCTTCTATAAAATCATAAATAGTATGATAGATGCACCTGACCTCCTAGCGGCTATTGGCATTCATGTTTCCCCAATAAATGTTAGAAATAGGATTCTGTTTAATGTTGATTTTCATAGAACTAATTATAGTATTAATTCTCCATTATGTAGAATGTCAAAGCTGTCAAATGATATTTTAACTAAATGTGACATATATATGTTTGACCGATCTTATGGAAGATTTTCGACGAAACTTAAGAATGTCTTATATAATTGATAATTAGTCTTGTTTTTATCCCGCCATCTTGTGTCTTGTGTATTGTTTAATCTATTGTAAATGCTATATGCCTGAATAAAATTTTGATTTTGATTTTGTGATTTCTGTGGAAACAGGCCTTATGATTGCATGGCATTTGCCGTCAGTGTGTATAGGTCTGTCACGTCAGTGTCAAACAAATTAATTTATCATATTTTCTTTGATCATTATTTCAACTAGATCGTGAGCCTAAGCCTAGATACTCGCAAAAAAAATTGGAAACATTGCAGCAGAAGAGAACAAGGAAATACAACATATTTTGGATAGAGCCGCCAGTGCCTGCAGTAGTCTGATACCTCAAAGGTCATCCAAAAAATCTCTCCATATCGTTCACAATAATCAAATGAAATAATTAGTTTTTGGTTGTTTTTGAATGGGTATTTTGAATCTTTTTTTTTTAAGTTTATTGTCTCATTTTTTATTCTTATAAATTTTCTCGCTCGTAGAAAAAATACTGTACCTGACTCTTGCGCAAAGTGTCTTGTTCGCACTCGACTGCTGCCCGAACTCCGCTTCGCGTCGTTCGGTCAACTGCAGTCAGCGTGCGAACAAGACTTACTTTGCGCACTTGTTAGGAAATATACTATATTATTAAGATATCAAAAAAAATGTTACGTGCAGCGTCGCCGGTAACGGTCGTGTACTTTTGTCGATTTCTCACGGAATTTATTTAAATTATATGAGTATAAAGTGTTATAAAAGTGCCGCAAAATGGATTTGTGTGTTTAATTAGTTATTAACTACTCATGAAAATAAAAGCAACACTTTTAACATCATATTATTCTCCCGTATTCACCCAGGAATTCGCAAAAAAAACACCGTGATTCTAAAGTGTTGCCAAGGCCAGGCTACGGTGTGTATACCATGATCGAAAACATTGTGTAGGGGAGAGCGGAGTAATGGAGTGCTACAAATGTCATGAATTAAAATTGAAGGACATTTTCAACTGTGATGGCTGTAAGGAAAAAATATGCAAGCAGTGCGGAGGGCTTTCCTCTTCCGAAGTCAAGGTGCTAGAATTACGTAGTAGAATAATGAAATTCTACTGCCCAAGCTGCATAAATTTCGAAACTTTTAAATTGCTACAAAATGTCATTGAAAGTAAAAATGAAAATATTGAAGCCAAAAACGAAATCATAAGCTTACTTAAAAAACAGCTTGAAGAAGTAAAGAACATTTTCCAGAAATTTCATATGCTGGTATTGTCAGGGAACCAACTCTGAAGACTAGGGCATGCGTCCCTGATTTAATTATTCGGCCGAAGCAGAAGCAGCAGGAACAAAAAACAAGGGATGAAATTTCGAAAAATATTAATCCTACAGAATTAAATATAGGCATAAAAAACATAAGAATGACAGGAAATGGCAACATGGTCATAAAATGTCCCACCAAACAAGAAGTAGAAGAACTTAAACGAGCAGCTGAAAATGCGCTAGAAAATAGATACGAAATAACTACAACCAAGATGATGAAACCAAAAGTAAAGATTCCAGGATATGAAGGTAGCAAACCAATGGAAGATATTGAAGAATGTATAAGAAAACAAAACAACTGGATTTTGGAGAGTGATGAACTTAGAATAACATATGTAAAAAAAAAGCGGAACTCAGCAGCAACAATTCTGGCAGAGTGTTCAGCAAGTCTTTTTCACAAATTTATGGAACGTAAGAAGATTCATATTGAATGGAGCAGATGCCCTGTCTATGAGGACCTGACGGTGACAAGATTTTTTTTTTTTTTTTTTTTTTTACGGATATGCGCACTCGCAAGGAAATGTCCTATCACGCTCGAGAAGCGGCAAGTGCGCGGAAATGTCGGTGTATGTTGGTCTTGAAACGGTTCAGGTTGTAACCTGCAGGGAAAACCGTCGTAGGGAGTTTATTCCACAGCGATGCTGTTCTCCAGAGATATGAATTCTGATATAATGAGGTTCTTGGTGCCTCTAGTTTGACAGTAAATTCATGGTTACCGTCTGTTTGACGGGTTCGCCTGGTAGGTGCTACTCTCGGTGGAATCATACGTGCCAACTCTTCAGAGTATTTTCCGTGATAGTACCTGTAGAAGAGAGATAAATCGCCCACCGTTCTGCGATGTTCGAGACCATCCAAGTTACGAGTAAGTGCGGGGTCATTGATCAGCTTGATAGCTCGTTTTTGCACGGTATTCAAAAGCATTAAGGTATGTTTGGGTGCTGCACTCCATATATGTGAGCAGTACTCCATAGTTGGTCGAATCTGGGCTTTGTAGAGTGTCAGCAATTGGCTTGGTGTGTACAGATGTCTTGTACGAAATAGCACCCCCAGCTTTTGGGAGGCCCTTTTAGCAATATCTGCCACGTGACTGTGCCAAGACATGTTGGTCTCTGCAGTAACCCCCAAGATGTTCAACTGACTCTGTAATGTGACAGCACTTCCAGATAGCATGATGTTTGGCTCACCGGTGCTGGTCTTTTTTGAAAACAGAGCTGCTTGGGTTTTCTGCGCGTTGAACTGTACAAGGTTTTTGTTACCCCAGTCCTCTATTATCTCCAGGTCGTTATTTATCTGCGATATTTGAGTTAGTCTAAGATGATGGAATTCACGTGCGGAAAGACCTGTCGGTGGTATGAGTGAGGAGACTACATTGCCATCGTCTGCAAAGCAATAAAGTGGATTTACTGTTTTATCTATGAGGTCATTTATGTAAATCAGAAAAAGAGTTGGCGAAAGGATTGCTCCCTGTGGCACACCAGCATTTATTTGGTAAGAGTTGGAGTTCTGGCCATCCAGTGCAACATAAATGGATCTGTCCTTTAGGTAACTTTCAAACCAAGTGCAAAGTTTCGGCGATAATCCCATTGCTTTGAGCTTGTTGAGCAGATTTTCATGCCAAACTTTGTCGAATGCTTTAGATATATCTAAGGCAATTGTTCTTGTTTCACCCCGCAACTCAATCGCTTTTTGCCATAAGTGAGTGACGTATGTAAGTAAATCGCCAGTTGACCTATATTTTCGAAATCCGTATTGCTTATCGTTGATAATTTTGTACTTTTCCAAGTACTTGGTTAGGTGATTGTTCACAACTCTTTCCATTACTTTTGATATCACCGGAAGTAGAGCAATTGGTCTATAGTTTAACGGATCTGTCTTTTTTCCTTTCTTTGGAATGGGTTGTACTGCGGCAGACTTCCATGATGATGGATATACTCCTTGCCTGTAAGACAAATTGAATAATTTTGCGAAAGTTGGGGTGAGTTCGTTGGCGCAATTTTTGAGTACTATTGCGGGAATGCCATCCGGACCCATTGCTTTGTTTGTATCCAGCTTTTTTAGGGATTTTCGTATTTCTCTGTGATAAAAGGGTACCTCTGGCATACTATGGGAAACCCTTTCAATGAACGGTGGAGTTTTTCCGTTTGGCACTGTTAGGTTGGAGTTGGAGGAAAACATTTGGGCAAGCATATTGGCTTTTTCCTCTGATGTTGTGGCTAAGTGATTATTTTTATCTGTAAGTGGTGGTATGGATGACTTGGTGAAGTTAGATCCAACAGCTTTTGCAAGAGACCAAAAAGACCTAGAACTACTTGGACAATTCAGCAACCTGTTTTTTATTCTTTGATTGTATGTTTCTTTAGCGGAGTCAATAGTAATTTTGCAACTATTTCTGGCTTCTATAAATTCTGTGTGGTTTTGAGCGGTTTGCTGTCGTTTCCAAAGGTTATATGCTCTGTGTTTTTTCTGTACAGCCGTTTGACACTGGCGGTTGAACCAAGGTTTTGCATTAGCTCTACGTTTAGTTGTATGTGGGATATATGCGTCCATTCCAGATAAGATTACTTGTGTTATTTCATTACAGCAAATAGTGGGATCAACTGTTTTAAAGCAAACCTCTTGCCATGGAAAATCCAGGTAATACTGTTTTAGGTCATTCCATTTTGCCGATTTATAGTGCCACATTTTACGAGGAAGTGGTTGTAGGCTTGGTGGGATGAGCATTTCGCACTTTGTTATTATAAGTTTATGATCGGACGAACCAAGTGGAGCATCTACTTGAATTGTGTACGAGTCAGGATTGGTGGTTAGGAACAAGTCTAAAAGCGCTGCAAATTCGCCCCTTTCTGAGATACGGGTAGGTTCATCGACAAGCTGCGTTAGACCACAACTTATGGCAAAAGCTTCTGCTTCTCTGCCTTCGTTATCTGTTTTGTTGTGGTGTTTCAGCCAGGGTATATTGTGGACGTTGAAATTGCCTAAAAAGACAATTTCCGCCTGTGGATAGTTTGACTGTATACTATCACAGCTTTCGGATAATGTCGCGAAAAAGTTTTGGTAATCGGTGTTACTTGGCGGTCGGTAGAGGCAGCAGATAAACTTGGTCGATGACTTTGAGGTGAATTTTAGCCATATGATATCAAGGTTCGCTGGTTCTAGCTTCTCCTCTCGATGACATGAAAGGTCATTTTTAATGTACACACAGATCCCAAAATTATGTCGAAATCGGTGGTGTAGGTCATAGCCGGGATAAAGATAGTTCACAATAGGTGTTGCAGAACTGATTTTAGTTTCAGTGAGAACAAGGATGTCAGGTCTTTGTTCTTCAAGATGTTGGTGAACTGAATTCATATTTGTACTTATTCCTCTTATATTGCTAAAATCAATTCTGAGTTGAGTTTTTGATCTTCTCTTTATATCTTTGCATGAAGGACCCCCAGGATCACCCGACGCCCGGAGATCCGAGTGGTCGGGTATTTTGATGTTACAATTGTCAGGAATTTTATCACAAAAACAATAAATGCACCAAGAAAATAGTCTGCGAATACTGCGCGGAGGAACATGCGGCTGAAATGTGTCAATAAAATATAAAAAAGTGCAATAATTTTCTTCAGACAAATAATAAATTTAATACAAATTACAAGGTAACACATGCAACAACCGACCCAGATTGTCCAAGCTACAAATATCATATAGAATTACTTAAAAATAAAATAGAATATAATATATAATGTTTAAAACACCCCATGATGAAATACTAGCTCAATTGGACAATAAGGGGAACGGGGCGCATGAATCTTTTGTTGATGCAGCTTCACTTACCAAGCAGATTGAATTAGAAAACAAAGTTCTAAATATTTTACATCTTAACATTAGAAGTGTAAATAGAACCTTTGATCAGTTACTCCTATTCATGGAACTTTACCACCTAACATATTGCGATATTATCATTTTAAGTGAATGCTTTCAGCAAGAGTCTGTTCATATGTATAACCTGCCAGGTTATACAACATATTATAACGGTGGAGACTTTAATAAGAATGACGGTTTATTGATTTTTGTGAGGGACATATTGAATGCAACTGTGAGCCATATAAAATTGGCCTTATCACACGTTACTATGAGTAGAATCACTTTTGTGCATTGTAAGTTGTCTTTTGGAATTTCGGCTATATATAAACCACCTCCTATAGCGGATAATTTATTTATTGATGACTTGAAGAAGTTTTTCCAAGGCACTTTGACTCAAAGTATCGAAATAATTACTGGTGATATCAATATAAACATCCTAAATCAAAATCAATGCAATGCTACAGTAAATGAGTACTTGTCTTTGATGGGACTGAACGGCTTCGTTTCTCATATAAATCTGCCTACTAGAGTAACCTCAGAATCATCTTCTTGTATAGATCACTTGTTTGTTAGACAAAAACTTAAATTGAATAACCTTAGACTTCACTCATTCATAATGGATGCAGACGTGACAGACCACTATCCTATAATGCTTAACATTGATCTTGACTCAAGCGACAAAATTACTACAAACGAATATGATCAGAACTCTGACTACTACAACCATATTGACTACTCTAATTTTAAGAAAATGATGATAGGCCAGGATTGGTCCGATGTCTATGGTTCAAATGATTCAGAGCATGCAGCACGGTGTTTCCTCAACACCTTTAAACATTTGTTAGATCAAGCGACATCCAAACGATTAAGAAATAATTCAAAATTTAAAAAAAATAGGGAATGGATAACAGTTGGGCTAATAACATCAATAAAACATAGAGATTCTCTCAAGAAGAGATTACGAAAAAACCACAGTGATGAGCTCAAAGCAGAATACATTCATTTCAGAAATGAATTGAATAAATTAATAAAAAAACAGAAGTACAACTACTATAGAGAAAAGATTGAAAGCAATAAAAGTAATATAAAAAACATGTTTAAAATAATAGCAGACGCTACAAACGGTAAGGGGAAAAATTCTAAAACTAATTACACATTTGTTGATGAAAATAATATTACATAAATTTGATAATAACATAGACATGGCCAATGCTTGTAACAAATACTTTGCTGACATTGGCACAGAAATGGGAGAAAAAATAAATACCCCACTAAACCCTCTTATGGTAAATGAAAGCCTTCAGTCGTCATGATTCCTAAGCCCTATCACAGAAAACGAAATCATAATACAAATATCAGCATTAAAAAATAACAGCGCACCAGGTAAGGATGGTATATGCTCAAAGCTAATAAAATTTGTACATTTGGAGATAACAAAACCCTTAACTTACATTATGAATCTAATTTTTAAAACAGGTAAAGTGCCCAGTCAATTTAAGGAATCCATAATTACTCCAATATACAAAAGTGGTGAAAAGAATAAAATACAAAACTATCGCCCTATTAGTCTAATAAACAACTTTGCAAAAATTTTTGAATTGTGTTTGAAGGAACGTCTTATTGCATTTTTTAAAAAACACAATGTTCTATCCGAAAATCAATTTGGATTCTCGAAGGGCTTAAGCACAACTGACGCAATGTATTCTTTAATCACGGATGTTACTAGTAATTTGAATGAAAGCAAAAAAACAATAGCTGTTTTTCTTGACCTTGCAAAGGCTTTTGATACGGTGCCACACCTGAAGCTTTTGGAATTGGAAAACTTAATTTCTATGCTGCTAGGCAAATCCAGCAGGTTAGCACCTGTCGAGGTGGTAGAGATTTAATTTCTATGCTGCTAGGCAACCGCACCGGCAGTAGAAGTACTTTTAGTGCCTCTGGAGCGGCAGCAAAAGTACTTTTAGTGCCGCTCGTACTTTTACTGTCGCTTAACCATCCAGTTACCCCCGAGCTTACTCCATTCGCTTGGAGAAAAAATAGCGTGTTGCATACGGAGTAGAAGCACTTTTTTGTGCTTCAGCAGTATTGCAAGCCTCACTATGTTCGGCTCGCAAACCTACTGCTTCAGCACAAAAAAGTAAAGCTTCTACTCCTAATACAACAATATACTATTTGGTTTTTTACAATTTTTCGCGGGACAATGGACCTTTCTCATTTTACCTGTGCTGCGCGCACATCTTGTGGGTGACAGATAATTAAATCGTCAATTTACTGAACACGGTCTGACCCTGACGTATTTAAGCTAACCTCAATAATCAATCAATATTCAATCAATATTGCTGAAAATGATTACAAAAACTGTTTATGATACAATGGTTCAAATGAGTTGAATAAGTTCTTGTCAGAATTAGGCGAAAAAGAAACCTTTCTTTTCACAAGTTCCCAAGCAATCAAATTGTAAGAAAACAATAATAGTTACGTGCTCTCAACCCGAATGAAGACGATTTAGGTTGGGACAGAGATTTGAGGGTTCGTAAAATAACGATTTTCATATATCAAATACAATAATAATGTACAATTAAAGGTTTGCTGCAAACATTTTTGCTGCAGTGGGTTTTCTTTCTAATTAATGTTAATACGTATTTTGTCATATTTACATTTGAAAATAAACAAAAACAGAAACATAACCGAAATTGCACAATTTGACAAGTGGAACCAATCAAAATCATTCCACACAGGTATCGCGCGTCATTATATGTGTCTTTTTCTTTATTGCAGAAATCTTAATAAACTATCCTTGTTGTTCATTGCATGAGAAAGGTCCATTGAGCAGAATTTCCGCACTGGATTTTTTTTTGTTAGTTTCACTTTGAAGTATGTGAACCAGGCGGAAAATTTTTGATATTTTTCAAATTACCAGAAAACAGGCAAAAAAATTGATATTTTTTAAAAATCCTTGTACCCGTCTAAAAGTTGACACTTGGATGTGAAATCGAATCCTGAACCACTTTTCTCTCTACAATTTTTCGATTTCTGGTCGTCTAACCACACTTTCCACATATTTGAGGCGAACTTCTTAAATTTGCCGCCTTGACTGTGATCACATGACATCTGTCACAGTGATTATTATTGTTGATGGGTATGCTGAATTGATCCCAAGTAACATTTTTTTTTGATATCTTAATAATAAAATATTTTCCCATTTGTTGCAAACTTTTTGGCGGTCACTGTATAATTACAAAGCACTTGTTTTGTGCTTGTTTTGCATGCGAAGTACATTCCTAATTATTGCCATTCAAAAGTTCTCCTTACTTACCAGCAAAGGGTCATCATCAGACAAGACTTGGTTGACATTTACGTTTCGCCTTTTACTCAACTGCAGATCTCTTTTTTGTTTTCTTAGTTGTATTCCTTCTTCCTCACGCCTTCGACGTAACTCCACACTGTCTAAAGCTGTGTTCTTATAACGGTGTTTATGGCCCGATCCAGACATCTGAAACCAATGTAATATTTTTATAAACCAGAAATTAACAGCTAAATACAAAAGGTTTAAATTTAAGAAGTAGTTTACCCTGGAGTTTACCACAAAAATGGATGGATGGAGCTGGATGAGACACCGCAGGTGAGGCGCCGGTGAATTGACACAAAATGCAGTCAATCACGTACACTCAAGTATTTTATTTGTTTATTTATTATTAAAATTTTAAATTTGTTACAAAAAGATAACAATTGGAATTTTGTCAATAAGCCTATAGGAGGCTATCAAAATACTTACCTATAACAAAAATATACCTAATACTAATTTATTTATGATTCATAATTCTAACATCTATCATACAGAACAACATAATTCTAATTCGACAATAATCAATTATTATTATTATTTACATATTCAAGTAATCATCCAGGGTGTATGGCTCTAATGTCTGCCTGGCGACACTAAAGGCGTTTTCTCCCGTCCACTTTTTTGAAACTGGTTCAAAACTGTTTTGAAAGAGTACATTCTCGTGATAAACCAATGACGTCACGTCAAAATTGGTTCAAACCGTTTCGAAATACAATCCAATCCACGTTTTCAAACCATTTTCTCGCGCCGACATATTATGAGGTCATGATGTCATTACTTGAACCAGTTTTGAAAAATATTTTGAAGCATTTGAGACGCGAGAAAACGCCTTAAGTCTACGGGGCAATGGTGAGGGGAATGAAGTTGTAAAAAAAAAAATGGCTGATTTCATTCATTAAATACCCAGCTGCATGCGGAATTTTTTGGAAATTTTATCGTATTGCAACTCGTACATGGTGTTTCCTTATATTTTGACCCCTACCTACAGCTTCAGGTATATGAGGTGGAGGAAAACTTTAAATATGAAAGTTGTAGGGTTTTATGTCTATTATCTTTTGCGAATGCCCGTGCAGGCATAAAGTACACATTCTGGCCCGCGCGGGCATAATGTACCATTCTAAACATCAGGTTGACAATTGCGCCGCAAATGACATCGTTTGCGTGTACGCAAAGTGGCATCGATTTCAATTAAAGTCCCCCTGGTATGACATAATAGTTATTTATGTATCAAGGGTACTAAGTAGATGATTATGCCCTGAGGGCGACAGTCTTACAAAGCCGAGGGCCTCTGGCCCGAGGGTTCGTAAGTCGCCCGAGGGTATATATCGTCGCTTATCTGACAAATGAGCGTAAGCGACAAATATTTCTAAAATACAGATTATTCCATGAAAATATCTCTATGGAGTATATATATGATCTCACCAACGGGCGTAATTGTAGAGGTAATATTTTCCCTATTAGAACATGGTTGGTATGGGCGAAAGCGACATTAAAAGTAACCGCAGGATCTTACAAAGAGGCGTATATCCCGGAAACAAATTTACGCCTTTTTGTCAGATTTCCAACTAATATTGTTTGGCTGATGTGGCCCCGATGAGCTATAACTTCGCACCGGCAACCATGTAGCATAAATTGATTCATAATCATTTCGTTCGCTTCCTTTCCTGGTGGTGTTAACCCTGCAAGGTTTTCTACATTTTTTTGTTAACAGTGAAGATATTAAGTTTGAGTTTGAGTGTGCCTTCTATTGCAGTGGTATCTCTTTATAGGTAAGTTATCAGTAGTTATAAGCAAAAACAACATGAAAAAGATGGCACGCACCCTAAGAACAGAAGGAAAAGCATACGTGAGTCCCTTCTTGAGAAAGCAAGTTCCGCAAAGAATCATGAAGCCGCGATGTGATTCTCAAAAATGTAAAAATTATGGCTGCAAGTTGTTCACTGAGGAATAATACCAGGAAATATTTCATGCTTTCTACAATATACAAAGTCTTCAATTACAAAGGGAGTTCGTTGTGCGCCATATCAATGAGAATGATGTTAAAAAGAGAAGAACTGCTGCAACAGAGTGCATAAGAACAAGAACTTTGGCTTATTATTCACCAAAGGCAGATTATTAACAGTTTGTAAAATTACCTACGTTTCAGAATACACTGGCAGTTTCCGAAAAAGCACTTCGGACGGCAATAAGCAAGAGAAAGGTGGCATAGTTAGGTTCGATAAACGTGTAGGGGCGTTGCATTATGCAAACTTGAAACAAAAAGACGAATTTATGAGAGCCTCAGCTCTGGCTCACATACAAAAGTTCCCAAAAATGGAGTCGCTCTTTTGTAGAAAATGGACTTCAAAAGAATATTTACATCCCGACTTAAACGTGAAGCAAATGTTTAACTTGTACCAAGAAGAGAGCCTGGAGCAGCCAAAATGCAGCTACCATACTTACCCTAGAGTATTTGAATCACTGAATCTGTCCTTCCACCATTCCAGGAAGGACCAATGCAGTCTTTGTTTGTCGGACAGGGAAGGTGATGCAAATCAAAAATTAGAGCTTCAAGATGCATACACTGCAAATGTCGCCGAGAAAAACACTGTGTGCAAAAAGAAGGAGGATGCTAAGGAAATGTCCAAAAACAACCCAGCTTCAATAGCTGCTGCTGTTTTTGACATGCAACAAGTTATTCAGTTACCTTAAGTAAAGAAAATGCTTGTCTTATATCGTCGTCGTTTGTCGGTATTTACCTTCAGTATGAACAATATAGGTATTAGAGAGTGCTACTGCTTCTCTTGGTCGGAAGTTATGAGTAAAAGTGGTGCCAATGAAATGTCTACATGGTTGGCAGATGTTTACACAACTGGACAACCAAGGATTAAAAGAAGTAAGCAGGCTCTTCGCAGATGGTTGTGGTGGCCAGAACAAAAATACAATCGTTTTCACCATGTTACTACAAGTTGTCGCAAATTCAAAAAAAAAAAAACGTGAAATTGTATTATCCTCTTTCCAAAAAAATCATGGGCAAAATGAAGGGCATTCCGTTCATAGTTCTATTGCAACAGCATTTCGGTCCGCCGGAAATAATTATATACCAATACAGTTCAGTTACCCCCCATCTTTAGAGTCGCCAGAAGAAATTTTCCATACACGGTTTTTGAAATGACCACCGAAGAATTTCTTGATTATAAATCATTGGCTGAAAAAATCCGCCTTCAGTCCGCGTGACCAGAGGCGGAATTCTGTAACAGATAAAGATCGTTATCGATATCGCTATGGCACCTGTTATCTTCGTCTCTCTTTTCGAAATCAATAGAGAGGGGACGTCAATAGAGATAGCGAAAATATCGCTATTCGTTACAGAATCCCAGCCCAGAAAACTGGACTCTGGTGGAAATGTGGACTGGACCAAAATTAAGGAAGTAATGGTACACAAAGATGACGTCACTGTAATCAATATTAAAAAAAGTCACTATGATGCTGAATATCAGCAACTGCCACTACAAAGACTACCACCTGACGTGCTCCAAAAACCTATACCCAAATTAAACAGTGGCCAGATAAAACTCCCAGCAAATAAATACAAAGATCTTACGGATCTATGCACAGATCGGATACAAGTCGTACGAGACAAAACTTTCCAATAATTCTTCAAAGACCTTCCCCATGATTGGAATAATTAGCTTCTCGTTCTCTTTTTTTAGAATAAAGTTATTTTGTTTATTTCTTGTGATTTATACGGATTAACCGATTTTTTTTAATGTTAACTTTTGTTTGTGTTTCGTTTATAGAGTGGGATTTTCTTTTTATTCTTTACCGCAGATTGTTACTAATGTTTTGTTAAGTGCATTACTAGGCTTAAGTAAGATAACAATAATATTCAGATCTGGCGAAGGGACGTATGTCCATCTAAGTCATATTTTATCATGTTCGCCTGAAATTTCTTGAATTCGAATAGTATTTGGAAAAAGTATGTGTATTTAGCAGTCTAAATTAGCTATTTATACAATAAGTTGCGAAATGAGCGTCTTTTAGGCACGCGACGTGAAAATTGTTGAGTGACTAAAAGACATTGTTTCGTAACGTATTGTATACAAGATTTTTTCTACTGGCATTTTATAATAAAAAAACACAATTTTATTTCATGTGAATAAGTCGATTACACCCAAAATCTTTGTTACCTGCTTTTACTTGGCACCTGACACTTTTCATGCGATTTTCTTTTCAAAATTCGACATCAATAATTAAAATCCTAGAAAGTAGGTAATAACACAAAGTTCTGTTTTGAGTAACCCAAACGTTCAATTCAGTAATTCCATTTTCAATATTCATAATAAATACAAAACAAAATTCAAATATGTGTTTAGTGTGTTTTTTATTTCTGAATAATGAATGACACTTTTAGGCACTAGTGCTTAAAAATTACATTTACGCACTCATAAGTCACTTTTACGCATTCAAAAGTCACTTTTACGCACTGAGTGCTTAAAAGTAACTTTCACGCACTCAGTGCCTAAAAGAATGTCGTTTCAAAACTGAAATGACAATCGAAAAGTTGCTATTATGAAACGTCAGTAGAAAAAAAATATTATGACTGAACATGGAACCATGTATATGATACATTTTCTTTAAATTGCTTTCCTGTCAAATAATGCTTATGGTACTTACGCCCATTTGTCAGATAAATACCTGGGAAAAAAGTGTCACTTCGCAAATTGTCATCAGTGTGCAAACATCATTTTTTGACGAAAATAATATGTTTATAAGCGTAAATTTATATTTTGTTAATAAAGAATAAGTTAATTGAAAACTGTTTTTTGCGTCTTTATGCCATAATGTGTACTTTATGCCCGCACGGGCATAAAGTAATGAATTATGTAGATGGTATCTAAGGTATAAAAACACAATAATGTATTGGTATGACATGAAAGTTTGTATGCACCACGGGTACTAATAGATATATACCCTAGGGCACTAATAGATATATACCCTCGGGCGACTTACGAACCCTCGGGCCAGGGGCCCTCGGCTTTGTAAGGCTGTCGCCCTCGGGGCATAATCATCTACTTAGTACCCTTGATACATAAATAACTAATATTTACTTATAGTTTACTATAGTTACCCACTAACTACAGGGCAATAAGCAAAATGTCTTTAATAGCGAAAGTTTTTGAGATTATTATAGATTCTAAAATCAAGGCTGCACTACAATCAATTTTAAATGAAAACCAACATTGCTTTATTGCTGGTAGATCCACCGTGAGTAACTTGCTTGTTTATGAGCATTTCTTGAATAGTTCTCTTGAGGGCGGTAACCAGGTGGATGCCATCTACACAGACCTTTCAAAGGCTTTCGACAGGGTTAGCCACACTCTGATTTTGGGAAAGCTTGAGAGGTATGGTGTGTTTTGCAATCTCCTGCAATAGTTCCATAGTTATCTGACCAACAGAAAACAACAGGTGAAAGTAGGCGGTTTTGTTTCTGAAGAGATATTGGTCCCCTCTGGCGTTCCGCAAGGTTCACATTGGGGTCCACTTTTATTTAATATTTTCATCAATGATGTAACAGAGTGCTTCAAATATTCCAAATGTCTTTTGTATGCAGATGACCTAAAGATTTTTGCTCTTACATAAGGTCAGTTTTGGAATATGCTTTTCAGGTATGGTCACCTTACTATGGTCAGTATGTTCAACAGATTGAAAGAGTGCAGAAGAGGTTTGCGAAATTTGTTGGGTTTAAATTGGGTATACCAAATGAGGATATTGCTTGCAAATGGTGATGTAGACATTTTTAATTATTCTTTAATTTTAAACTAAGTAGGTACAAGGAAAAATTCCGGGAGTGAGTTAAAAATATTTTAAATCACTGAGGTTTCAGATTTTTAGTTGGGCAGAGTGACTTAAAATGCTGAGAGTGAGTTAAAATGTTTTTAAATCACTGAGGTGATAAACGTCTACTTACCTTTATTGTTATGGGTTCAATAATGTCATTTTTAAACGTCAAAATGGGATAATAAACATTCATTTATTTATCTATTTATTTATGTCATACCAATAATACATTATTGTGTTTTTATACCTTAGATAGGTACCATCTACATAATTCATTACTTTATGCCCGTGCGGGCATAAAGTACACATTATGGCCTGCGCGGGCATAAAGACGCAAAAAACAGTTTCCAATTAACTTATTCTTTATTAACAAAATATAAATTTACGCTTATAAACATATTATTTTTGTCAAAAAATGATGATGTTTGCAAACTGATGACAATTTGCGAAGTAACACTTTTTTCCCAGGTATTTATTATTCGCAACCAACTGGTATGACATAAAAGTTTGTATGCACCACGGGTACTAATAGATATATAAATACCCTCGGGCGACTTACGAACCCTCGGCCCAGAGGCCCTTGGCTTTGTAAAACTGTCGCCCTCAGGGCATAATCATCTACTTAGTACCCTTGATACATAAATAACTATTATAGTCCTTGGGCCCAGATCAATTTTTTTTATTTATGACCACACCGTCGAAACTTTTTGTATTTGTTATTTGGGTGGAGTCGGACAAATTTTGAGCTCAGCGCATTATGGTAGTGGGGCGTTTGTCTGTCAAGCTGTCACGAAGTTGTCGATTTTATGCAAGAAAAAAATGTATGACCACATTGGTAAATTTTTTTTAATCAATAGTTTTTATCACATAAACAACGAAAAAAAATGTGTCGGACAAAAATATTGGGGCATTCGTCGCGTCGGACACGCTAAATATGTCAAATTTATGGGAAAAAATAATTTATTACCACACGGCTGATTTGAACAAAATCTGCCATAAAAATATTTTACAATAACGTGGTAACCTTGTCGGACAATTTTCACGGGGCATATGCGCAGTCGGATGCGCCAAAGATGTCAATTTCCTGCAACAATTTTATTTACAACCACAGCTGCAATTTTTATTTTTTACTGTACATGTGTAACGCATATCGGATCAATTGTCGGACAAAAATAATGGGGCGTTTCGATACAATTTAAAAAAAAGTAGGTAATTTTTGTAATTTTTCACTTCGTCACTTTTCAAAATTATCAGACGCAAAATTCCAAGATTAGAGCAACAGTTAAAAGAAAAGAACAAGTCAATAATTTTTCCAACAATGGCTAATTATTCTAAAATAATTTAACTAACTTTGCACCCTTGAAAAAGGAAACAATAAAATTTCCGAAAGCTCGGCGTTTGTGAAAAACTAGTTTTATTTTTGCCAAGACTGAATCCCATCTCACTTATTAAACAAGCCAGTCAAAAATTTCTACATCTATAATTTATAGTATACCGGGTGTTTTTCAAAACCCGCTCACCCCTATAACTTTTTTATTTTTCCAGATGAACAAATGAAATTTGGTGTGTTTATTTATGACCCGGATGTGCATTATTTGACGTATTTAATTTTTTACTAGGGTAGTCATTTTATCTTGATAACATTTGAAGCTGTCATAATTTCTTTATTTTTGAAGTTATTTAAATAAATAAAAAAACATACTGTAGGGTTGTTTTCCAAGTTTTAGATAGGGTGGACAAAAAACAAAAGACTAATATATTTTGACAGTTATGCACACAAATAGATTTTTTTTAAATGGAACACCCGGTAAATTTTTAGTTTGTTCGATAATTTGTTTCATTCTGATTGCAATATATGCAATACAAATAAT